TAAATGTTGGAGCAGGAAATACAGGGATGTCCACAAGGGATTTCCTTCGAAGCCGCACGCACAGGGACAGATCTGACACTTGGCGTGGCATGACGGGAGCTTAGAACTGCCCCACCCCTGCAGTACAGGGCTGGAAATGCCACTGAGGTTCCCCTCTGTCCATGGGCTGATCGTCGGCAGCAGCCCCTGGCTGCAGGCTCAGAGGACGACCCCCAGGACCTGACGGCAGCACTGGAGGACGGGGTGAAAAGCTCAGTCCACTGCTCTGAGCCATCCCCCACCCACATTTGCAGCAGGGCCTATTGCGCCAGCTGGGCCTCCCCCAATGGCACAGCAAGGAGCCAGGGAGCCCAGGCCTGGGGCTAAGGAGGTTTCATTCCCCCTCACTCCCCTGTGTGGGCGAGTTGTGCCAGACACGTGCTTGTCAAAGTGCAGCCGCTGGGTGGTTCGTACTTACGGACACGCAGGGAGGGTGGGATTGGAAGGAGAAGACAATTAGGCAGTGGGGCCAGACCAGAGAGCCAGATCACAGCAGGTATCTGCATCCTGCTCCATCTTCCCTCTCCCCATTCTCTGGGGTCGCTCCCGTCTATCTCTGGTCTCCCTGCCCACATGGCGCTGCCAAGCCTGATTTCTATTCTGAAAATCCCTTTTTGCTTATCAAGTGCTGTGCACCCTTGTGCTGCACTAGTGCTCCCTGTGCAATAGCCAGTGGGCTAGTAAATAAATGAGGAGAAGCACTCAGAGCCATTTGGTGAGTCTCCTTCTCCCTCTTTCTATACGTGACATTTTTGTACGTGGTCATGTTCTTGTAGCAGCGTGGGAGGGAGGCAGGGGTGATGACGTTTCCTGGTTCTTTTAGAAGATTTTCTATTCACATTTTTTAAAATAGGGGGAGTTTAAGGACACATCTGTGCTTACCAGACGCTTGATGCTCTGATGGTCGATCTTTGCCATTTGATTTAGCAGGTCTGGTATAGACCCGTAAATCACATGCTGAGGGCACCCCAGCCAGCGCCAGGTCTGGCTTATACCGAGCACTGCAGAGAGACAGCCCCAGAGGGCTGAAAGTGAGCTGACTCCGAGGTTGTGTGGCTCAACATCAGCTGTTTTGGCTCTAACAGTTTGAGAACTTACCCAGGCCCTGGGCGTTTCGGTCCAACCCTGGGTAGAAAATGGAAAGCACTTAATGTAGAAAGTGATTATGTTTTGGGGAAACGTGTAATCTGAGCACAGCAGACTGTTCAGATGTTCCTCTGAGATTTTTCAAAAGACAGTAAATTCCACGTGTAAATGACCATTGGGAGGTACTAGGGTATGTCTACACTACAAAGTTAGTTCGAACTAACGGACGTTAGTTTGAACTAACTTTCATAGGCGCTACACTAGCGCTCCGTTAGTTCGAACTTAATTCGAACTAACGGAGCGCTTAGTTCGAACTAGGTAATCCTCATTCCACGAGGATTAAGCCTAGTTCGAACTAGCTAGTTTGAATTAAAGGGTGTGTAGCCCCTTAATTCGAACTAGTGGGAGGCTAGCCCTCCCCAGTTTTCTCTGGTGGCCACTCTGGCCAACACCAGGGAAACTCTATGCCCCCCTCCCGGCCCCGGACCCCTTAAAGGGGCACGGGCTGGCTACGGTGCCTGTGCCAGGTGCAAGCCTGCCAGCACCCAGCCAGCAGACCCTGCA